TCTGTCATATTTTGTTAACTGTGTGTACTGGCTGGTTTTGTGTGTCAATTTGACACAAGCTGGAGTTATCAGAGAGAAAGGAGCCTCTTTTGAGGAAATGCCTTCATGAGATCCAGCTGTAAGGCATTTTATTAATTAGTGATCAAGGGTGGGTGGGCCTATTGTGGGTGGTGCAATCTCTGGGCTGGTAGTCCTGGGTTCTATAAGAAAGCAAGCTGAGCAAGCCAGGGGAAGCAAGCCAGTAAGTAACATCCCTCCATGGTCTCTGCATCAGCTCCTGCTTCTTGAGTTCCATTCCTGACTTCCTTTGGTGGTGAACAGCAATGTGGAAGTATAAACCGAATAAACCCTCTCCTCCCCAACTTGCTTCTCGGTCATGATATTTTGTGCAGGAATAGAAACCCTAAGACATTGTGTTTGTACAGACACGTGTTCTCTTTCCTTAATTTCCTTATCATATAATGCAACAGAGATAGTATCAGTGGTTATTGTTAGGTCTCATACCCTGTACAAATGGCTGAGGTACCTATAGAACATTATCAAAGCAGATCTGGCTGCCAGGTTCTCCCAGCATCCCTCAGTTCCTACCTGTTACAGTATGGCTGGCATACCCCACTCCCTATCTAAACTTCTCCAGCCCAGAGGCTGGGATACCCTTCCTCCAGCTCCCTTTTGGTTTAACCTTTACTCTCCTGAACTTTTGGTACACCATATCTAGGGGCATTCATATCCTTCCTTTTTAGTTTTTTGTTCAGCTATCATACTAAGATTTGAGACACTAAAAAAAGTCCCTCAAAGGACACTGCCACCTATTCTAAAATATATAATGCATTTGTGGTTGTTTGTAGATAGTTATATTGTGTCAGGCATAATTGTGATTTGTTTGCTTTCATTTGGAAATTAAGCATGGCGTAAGGAGACATGATTGTGTGTCAAGTGGGCAAGGAGTGATCTTACGATGGCTATTCTTGGTTGTCAACCTTACTACATTTGGGATCAACTAAAAACCCAATTCACTGGAAGTTTCTGGTAGTGTCATGTGATACAGACTCACATGGTGTTTTGCTGAGGCAAGATCCACGGGACGACACTGATGTTTGGAGGGAATATAAATAGGACTCAATGGACAGTTACTGCGAGCTCGAATAGCTAGGTGTGCAGCTTTTCTTTGGTTACATATCTTCGCTGATCTTCTCTTCATTGAGAGACGCACTACGGAGAACTTCTCCTGGCGACCCTGCTGGTTCTGGTAGGCCCCTCTGACTCATGCCAATTCAGTGGAGGCCTGGCTGTTTCTGCTAGATCGTGCCACTGCTGCTGATTCTTTGGCATCCTGACACTACTCAACTGGACTGCTACTATCCTGACAAATGTAGATTGGAATCACCCCAGAGGAATACTTCTAAACAGGTCCACATCCCCTTGTCCTATTTACCATCTTCTCTCCCTTAACTTTGGCTGGTGGGCTAGAAGGGGAGGCCAAAGTGTTTGAGAACTCTTATTAAAAGTAGATTTAGGCCGGGTGGTGCACACCTTTAATCCCAGCACTTGGGAGGCAGAGGCAGGCGGATTTCTGAGTTTGAGGCCAGCCTGGTCTACAGAGTGAGTTCCAGGACAGCCAGGGCTACACAGAGAAACCCTGTCTCGAAAAACCAAAAGAAAAAAAAAAAGTAGATTTAGGCCGGGTGGTGGTGGTGCACACCTTTAATCCCAGCACTTGATTTCCGAGTTTGAGGCTAGCCTGGTCTACAGAGTGAGTTCCAGGACAGCCAGAACTACATAGAGAAACCCTGTTTCGAAAAACCAAAAAAAAAAAAAAAAAAAAAAAAGAAAAAAATTAGTAGGTTTAAAAAAAAAATCTAAGCCTACAAACTGTGCCCACCTGTGAGGAATTTTAGTTAAGTGGATCATTTGTGGCCCTTGACTCTGGGCCACACTTTCTGGTGGCAGCCGATATAGAGGACAAGGAAAAAGCTTTTCCTTTTTGCCTGCTTGCCCTGGCTCATTCACTAGCTTTGGGGCCTGCTATGTCAGGATTACGACTGAAGACCAGCCTGGTGGTCTAAACAACTATTCATATGTTTTATTGGTATTGGTTCTGATCCTCTAGAGAATCCCTATGCACACAGTAACCAGCAGCTGTCTAACTGGACAAAGTCCAGATTAACAGGAAGGAAATGACGCTGGTACTGGAAACGCAGTCAACTCCACATGGCTAGGGAAGCCATGGATCTCGGAGGAGAACCTACAACTGTCACTTCACAATTACCTGCCGAATCCTTAACCAAATTCTAGGTACTTATCCTCATACCAGCACATAAGAGTATATATCTTGACCTTCATCAAAGAAGATCCTTTTGCAACAGCAGGAGACCATTACAGAAAGCCACAGTGGTCAAAATGCACAGGGTACAGACATGAGGTGTCCATCCCCAGCTGATAAACCTATAACACAATCCTTGCACCTATAACACGATCCTTTACCCCAGGTATCTTGAAGTCAGTGAGCCAGGATTCAGCCCCAGGTCTTCAATTCCCTTAATACTCAGGGAACATGATAGGAAAAAGGGGTGGGAATTGTAAGAGCCAGGAAGTTGGCCTTGAGATTGTGACTTCTCATAAATCTCAACATGGCTGCCTTAACAAGACTGGAACAATTCCAGTGACATTTGGCATCCCAAGGTAGATGGAAAGAATCTTATTCCCACCCCTAAATGAAGATCTATGGGCATTTATGTATGTATGTATGTATATGTATATGTATATGTATATATTTGTTTTTTCTAGACAGAGTCTCTGTATAGGCCAGGCTGGCCTTGAACTCAGAGATCCGCCTGCCTCTACCTCCCAAGTGTGGGGATTAAAGGTGTGCACCACCACGCCTGGCCACAACGCTTTGTATTTATATGCTCATTTCTTTGTATGTATAGGTAATAATAACGATGAAATAAAAGACCTTGAGTTTGAAAGGGAAGAATGTGGTCAGACATGGGAGGGGTGGGAGAGGGAGGGAAGAAATCATGTTATTATATATCAATTTTAAGAACTCTATGAAATTCTCAAAGAATAAACAAAATCATTGTTTAAATAATAAAAAAATTATGTGTATGACCCCTTGGAACTGGGGTTACAGGTGGCTGTGAACCACCTGTCCTGGACTTCTGCAAGAGCAGGAAGTTGCTGGGCAGTGGTGGCGCACACCTTTAATCCCAGCACTCGGGAGGCAGAGGCAGGCAGATTTCTGAGTTCGAGGCCAGCCTAGTCTACAGAGTGAGTTCCAGGGCAGCCAGGGCTACACAGAGAAACCCTGTCTCGAAAAACAAAAAGAAAAACAAACAAACAAACAAACAAACAAAAAAGCAGGAAGTAGTCTTCCAGCCCCCCTTTGGCTTTGCTGATTTACTGTTTCTAATCTCTGTAAGTTTTTACATGGTTCCCATTCAAAAACCATGTAATCTATTACCATGTGATATGTTCTATAGGTACTTCATGTAATTTTGGCTTCTTTACTCCAGGTATCTTGAAGTCAACCAGCCAGCATTCAGGCCCAGATCTTCAACTCCAAAGTCCAACCCAGTATGTCAAATAGGGGCAACTGATCTATGCTCTGATATCTAACAGAATTAAAGAATGCTTGGGACTGGGGTTGGAGCGATGGCTTAGCAGTTAAGAGCTCTAGTGGTTCTTCCAGAGGATCTATCTGGGTTCAATTCCAAGAACCCACACGGCAGCTCACAACTGTCTGAAACTCCACTTCCAGGAGATCTGACCTCATCCAAATATACATTCGGGCAAAACACCAATTTACATAAAAAATAAATAAATCACTTTTAAAAAGAGAGGGAGAATGCTTGGGACTATTTCTACTTTTCATAAAAATATTTTCAAGATCATTCGAGCAGGGAAAAAAATATGGTTTGACACAAAGTACAAAGTAATCAAATTAACTAAATTAAAAAGCCCGTTGACATATTATGCCTATAATTTCTGCAGTTCACCAGTTACCTGGGAACCCCACTAAAAGGTTATTGGCTTCTAAATTTGAATTTCAGTGAGCGAGGAAGCAGAGGGGAAGGCTATGTCCGACAGCAGTACTTAGTGACTGTTTCAAAATCGTCTTATCAGAGTTGTTACATCAACAGTGCTTAAAGCCCATGTTGGACGGGTTTTTGATTAGTCTTAGTAAAATTTAACTTTCATTCTCCCTGTAATGAGGTCTTTGCCCCGAGAGCACATAATGATGAAACCAATGCCTGAGGCAGATTGAATTCGTCTAACCTAACTGTGTCTGGGTCGGTTTGTCTGTCTGTCTGTCTGTCTCTCTCTCTCTCTCTCTCGTGCAAAAGTTGCATTTGTTGAGAACTGGATGTTTGGACAGGGGCTCAGCTCTTAAGAGCACTGGGGTTTCTTGGAGAGGACCTAGATTTGGTTCCCGGCACCCACATGGTATTTCACAACTGTCTGCATCTCCAGTTCCACGTGATCTAGAGACGCCTTCTGGACGCAGTAGGCATCAGACAAGCACATGGAACAGACACAATACAGGCAAACCAGCCGTACCTTTAAAAAAAAAAGAAAAAGAAAAAAAAAGGTTAAATAGGACAAGGGGCGAACACATCAGTGGTCTGGGTTTCTAGAACACGCTCCTGTTAACCTGAGGGGCCGGAAGCCGGCGTCGTCGGCTTGCACACCTGTGTGAGCACAACGTCGTTTAGCGCCCCGACAGGAGAACTCACTCGAAACCGCAGGCTCCACAGCGGCCTGAGGGACTGAGGCTCACCGGAGGATGTCAGGCGTCCAGCCCTACCGCTTGCCGAGTGTACGCAGGCGCGCTCCAAGCCTCACGGGCGCGCCAAGGCGCCACGCAGCCGCAGTGGAGGCCCCGAGCGCCGGGAGCGGGGCGTGGACTAGGCGGAGTTAGCCCCCAGGCGCGCTGACGCAATGGCCGGCGGCGGAAGGGTGCGGACGCGCAGGCGCGGCCGGGGCTCGGACGATTGGGAGGCGGGGCTACGCGTGCGTGTTGAGAGGCCCGGCGGTGGCGGCTGGCGGCGGCAGCTGTGAGGGGGTTCCCGGAAGATGGTGCTGATTAAGGAATTGTGAGTGGGTCGGTGGGCTCGAGCGAGGCTCCGGGACGCGGGCTGGGGAGGATCGGTGGGCTCAGCGTGGAGGGTGCCCCCGAGTAGCTGTAGACCCCTTTCTGGAGCCTCAAGGCCCTGTGCGGTGCCGCCGCCCTCCGCAGTCAGCGCCGGGCTCGGCGGTGCGGTCAGGGCTCCCGGGGGAGCCGGGTATGCCTGGCGAGGGGTCGCCCGCAAGTTCGAGCCCGTCCCCCCTCAGGCTCAGTGAACCCGACTCTAGATCATGCCCCTGCGGTCGATCTCAGACCCCTCACCTCTAAGATGGGCGACACCGGCCCCACCTGCTTCCCTGGGTTCCGTGCGGCGTTAAACACATGGTGCTTAACATGGCAAATGAAGACTTTTCCCAGATGCATCAGACTGGCTCCGTCATTTTGTTGAAAAGTTGTGGCTTTCCTGTCTCCTTAGAGCCACGAACATCACAGGAAACCGTGGTGGCAGGGAATGTTCATCTGTCATACCTGAGTCGGTGTCCCTTGAGCAATTTCAAGTGTGACCCATTTTGTTGTCGCTCTTCTTCTCCAGCCCTAATTTCATTACAGATTCTTAAAAGAAGAAAAAGCCTTAAGCTAGCTGTCTAGACTCCTTGTCTGTTTTAACGTCAACCTCGTAAAAATTACTAACACTAACGGAGTCCCTCTACTTAACACTGCTCAGATTCTGTTTTCTGCTCATATGTAATTTTTTTTCTTGCTCATTCCAGTATTTCAAGACCCCTTGCTGTTCCTCTGTGCTCTGTATGTAGGCTTAACTCTGCATATTAAGTGTTCCTTCTCTTTCTGCTGACTCAAATGCTTTTTCCTCAAATCAGTAGCTCACCTTCCAGGTCTTGGGAAGTGTGAATTATTTGTCTTTCTTAGTGTTCTCCCGACATTGCATACTATACTCACTCTGATACCTCCAGCTTTTGGAGCAGGCTTTAGTACGTAGCTGATATTCAGCAAACAGTTGGTGTTTTTAAAAGAAGTTTTGTCTATTTTTCTGTGTATAGGTGTTTGACTGCATGTGTGTCTATGTGCTACACTCGTACAGTACTCTTGGAGGTAATAAGAGGGCATTGGATCCCCTGGAACTAGAGCAGGTAGTGAGCCACCATGCAGGTGCTGGGAACTGAACCCAGTTCAGTTTCTCAAAGAGCAGAAAGTCCTCTTAGCCACTGAGCCATTTCTCCAAGCCCTTCAGCAAACACTTGTTAAATGAATTGATGACGATTCTTTCTTACTTTCAGGAGAAATTTATTTTTGGTTTTTTTCGAGACAGGGTTTCTCTGTGTAGCCCTGGCTGTCCTGGAACCCACTCTGTAGACCAGGCTGGCTTCAAACTCAGAAATCTGCCTGCCTCTGCCTCCCAAGTGCTAGGATTAAAGGCGTGTGCCACCACAGCCCAGCACAGAAGAAAATTTTAAATTAGATTTGTATGGGTTGCGTGTGTACAGGCTGATGCCACAGAGTGCTTTTGGAGGTTAGGGGACAACTTGCAGGAGACAGTTTTCTGCTCCCATTAGGGTCCTGCACCTGGAACTCAGGTCATGCTTGGTGGCAAGTGCCTTTGCCTGCTGGGCCATCTGTGGCCTGGAAAATTACTACTTTCTGTTAGTGACAGGGAGTCTGAGAAAAGGTATACCTTTGCATTCTGCTCAGAGCAAAGATTTACATCTAAAGCATAATCATAGTACTGAACTCTGAGCTTATGAAAACCTTCTTCTAAGTAATTTTAATGTATCTTGCAAGCATCACCTAATTTATCATTCTAGTGGCAGGTAGTAAAACAGGAGAATATGAGATAGACAGGAATTGACTTACCCCGAGCCACACAGCAAGAGAAATGCTCGACTGAATGAAAATGAGACATTTAGTGGTTTTTAATTGAGTAACCCTCTGACAGTGTGTCTGTGTACCTCAGTAGATGTCTATGGAGGCCAGAGGCACTGGATCCAGTCGGAGCTGGTGTTAGAGGTGGTTGTGAGTTGCCTAATGTAGATGCTAGAAAGTGAACTGAGGCCCTCTGCAAGAGCGATACCTCTGCCATCTCTCCAGTCCTGTGTCCTGCATATCTTTACTTTATGAACGAAGGTAGCAAATGATGTGTATCTAACATCTAATTGTTTTCATGAAAGCCTCTTAGCTTTTTTTCTCCTCTTAGACTTAAGATAAAGACAGTTTACTGTTAGCGTGTCTACGTCCAACTCAGCGTTGTACACAGTGTGAGTGCTCAGCTCCATGCAAACAGTGACTAGGTGGTTTCCATGTGGTAAAGTAAAATACTGGGGCAGTTTCAGGGCCAAGTGTGGTGTCACATGCCTTTAATACTAGCACTGGGAGAGGCAGGTCTATGCGAGTCCCAGGGCAGCCAGGGCTACCCAATAAGACCCTGTCTCAAACAAAACAAAAGAGGAAATGACTTTCAGGGTAGGCTTGTCTCTTCTGTCACAGAGCAATGGATTTCGTCGTTAGTGTAAGAGTCTTGGTTTTAAAGCATTTGTTGGTTCTATTTGGAAAAACACTGAGGATTTTAGAGTAGTCTGTGGATTTGATTTGTCCTCCTAAATGCCGTAACCACTTTTATTTATGAAAGATTGAAACTTTAGTGATGACTCCCTCTCCTCCATCCCTTCCTCTACAGTCTTGGCTCAGTCCTTTGGTTACTCTTGAAGTACTCCCTAGAAGTGCTTCCTAGAAAATCTCTTTCCCAGCTACCTACAGATAATCTATCTCTGGAGATCAGCCACAGCTGTGTCACTCTTGGGGAAATCCTCCAGCGTTCTTATTGCTTCATTAATGAACTCTTCTTTTTTCTTCTTTAATGACAAGGTTTCTCTGTGTAGCCCCGGCTGTTCTGGGACTTACTCTGTAGACCAGGCTAGCCTCAAACTCAGAAAACAGCCACCTTCTGCCTCCCGAGTGCTGGGATTAAAGGTGTACACCACCACCGCCAGGCTGAATTTACTAGTTCTTTATTCTGTCCTTAGAGGCTCTGAAAAGTGGGTTCCACCCTCGATCCCTCTCACTGCAGTTTCTCCAGTTTATGCACTGTGTAGTGAGACAGACAGTTAATGCGCATTGTATTGGAGAGGTGGGGGTGTTCGTTCTCCGAGAGAAATACAAGTTTGGAACTTTTCTAACTTGAGTGGTCCTGGTGTTTAGATAACACTGTTACACAGGGTGATTGTGACCTATAGTGGGGAGGGAGTAGCAGGAAACCTGCTTTATAGAAATAAGGGATTTCTTTGTGAAAAATCTGGAGGTAAAAAATGATGCTCTGATAGAATCAACGCAGCTGT